TACCATGGGATTGGCTACATCTTGAAGCGCGCTTCCATCAAAACATACTTCAAGCCGCCGAAGAAGATTGGTCAGTTTTTACCATTAGTCAAGTGTAACGTCCCTCTGCAAGATGCAGGAGTGTACAAGCTTGATTGTGAATGTGGTATCTCCTACATAGGACAAACTAAAAAATCAATTAAAACCCGCGTCAAAGAACATATAGTTGATGTGAAGAATCGACGCTCCGGGAAGTCTGCAGTCTGTGAACATGTACAGGATCGCCCCCGTCACTACATCAGATTTGATAGACCACAAATCCTCGCTAAAGAACACCGATTCCTTCCAAGGATGATTCGCGAGGCTATTGAACTCAAAAAACATCCTAATTTCAATAGAGAAGATGGCTGGGTGCTACCATCTGCTTGGGATCCTATAATAAATAAAATTAAATCCCAACCCAAGCATACAACTGCAAGACTCCATGATACCATAAGTTCATACTGTGTAGATCGGAACAAAAGTTAAATTTTAATCTATGGTAACCGCGGTTAACTATGACAGCTGGACGTTGAACATCTCAGTCCTTCCCGTGACCATGGGTGCTGTAAAGCTCTCAAAACGTCGGGTAATTAAAAAGTTAAATATACGCGATAAATTCCGTAAAAACTAGTATTATTTCAAACAACGAATTGAGTACCGCCTCCTTTTTTCGAAGTCGGTTAAAAAGTAGGTAAAAACAAATCAATGAAATTATTATATAATAACAACATCTACTTAAATTCACATAAGAACTTTCATAATTACAGCTAATTTGGTTTCATAATAATAACACCAATTTGTTTCCTCTCTCTTTTCTCTTTGTTACCTCCACGGTAGGATTTTCTCCTGTATCGTGGAGGCAGTTTACAAACATAAATTGCACAAGGACAAACATCCAGACCCGGAACAACTATTTGTAGGCCATACAAATATTTGTTCCGTGAGGGATTCGAAACCGCGGCCCCCAGCGCAGCCACTGCGCCAGGGAGCTTTCAATTGCGGTTTGAGTTTATGTTGTCATTCAAAAAAGAATCGCAATATGTAGGTACGTTATGACGCCGTCGCTTTGCGTCACTCAGGAGTGCGTATATGTCTGCGCACTGGCTTCTTACTGCTCATCACAGCGTCTATCCCTTTCGCACGTGATGTCGGCTGAGATAGCATGCATTTTAACCCCGCTTACCATTTAGTTCGAGCTATCGACTAGGGCCACCTTAGATCAAGCGTCATGAACGCGCGTTATGTAAAGTTTCGCTGTACAGATCTTACATCGCCCTCGTCATTTGTACATCATCTTTATCACCATCAGTCACCCTCTAGCCGTTCTGCTTCAAGAATGGCAAAATAAAGATCCTTTCCAATCTTATACGTGGTGGCCAGGTATAGGATTCCAGCGCATATACGATTAAGTCTTATTCATTGCTTAACGAAGAATATCTTATGTCATATCAATACCGGGTTAAAGTCCACTGTTGAACTAAACAAAGCCTTCATATGTCGTATTACTAGGCCCAGGCCCGAAACCCTCCCATTTTAAGAGAGTTTCAGGCCTGAGCCCAGAACCTTCTCATTTCTGAGAGGGTCTTTGGTCGAGGTAGTGACCCCCGCGCTGTCTGTGCCGGCAAACTTGACATGACTTCGAAATTCAATATATTTTTGTAGATTCTCAAACATGCAGGTCTCCATACGTAGGGCTCGTGATAAATCGATAGTTAAAATTGAAATTAACAATTTTGATCTGTTCCGGCGAGGAACCACTTTTTGCCATTGAAAATACAATTTCTTGGCAAATCTTTACTTATGTGTTAATTATAGAAGTAATTTGCTAATTTGTTTTAAGTGAGTTACAAGTTTTCGTAGGTAATAAAATTTACTAATCTCAGATAATGAATAGATTCATCTTAGTGGGATCGGCCGTAAGTCAACTTAATTGGAAATATAAGTGAATTTTCGGTTAAGTACCTTTGAGGATACTCCATTGTTTGATAGTTGTTTTCCTTCAGTAAAGTATATTCCTAATTTTGACCATTGTAGTTTTAAATTTTTTTCTTTAATTAATGGTTTTAGCGCATAATGTAATCTAAACTTTCCTCATCTGAAGCTGTTTTAGCAATAACATACGGCGCTAAGGGTCGCAGGGTCTAGTCCCGTACGGAACGACAGTTTTTATTGCCTACAAGTAATTATACTTGTGCAATTTATGTATTTTCTCGTAAAACTCTAGTGTGGGATACAGGTTAAAAAAACATATAACAATAACTGGTTGCCAGGTTCGGTCAATCTTTGGATTTAAAAAAATATGCAGCAATAAATGGCGTTGAATGGATTTTTCGGCTTAATCTTTTAAAAAATATATTATTAATAATTTAATGCTTAAATAATGGCAAAAAACCTTTTTAATTTTAATATTTAAAACTTACTTATTTCAATTACAAAATAATATAAAATCGAAGCTTGGGATCATAAAATCCGAGCATTAGTCCAAATGGTCCCGAGCGAAGGCCTACGCTATAGAGTAGTAATTTGTAAATAAATATATATCTAATAAATTACGTGTCACGTTGCTTGTCCGCGATGGACTCCTAAACTACTTAACCGATTGTAATCAAATTTGCACTTTGTGTGCAGTTTGGTCCAACTTGAGAGACAGTTTTTTTGCCCATGCGATTGTGACCCACAATTTTTTTTTACGAATTTAAGGATTTTTAGTAGGACATGACAAAAGGTCATCGAAAAGGGCAGAAGAACGTCTGCCAGGCAAGCTAGTATATATATATATATATATATATATATATATATATATATATATAGAAAACTATTGCATATTAGAAATTTTGTACGTTGTGTATATGTTGTACGACTGCCTCGTTGGTCTAGTGGTTGTAGTAGTGCGACTGCTGATCATGAGGTCCTGGGTTCGAATCCCGGGTCGGGCCAAAAAATCAACCATGGAGTTTTTCTGTCAAGAAATTCTCAGTAGCTGCCTGGAGTCAGGAAGTTGGCGGTGTCTCACCCCCGTGCCTCGGAAAGCACGTAAAGCCGTTGGTTCTGCGCCTGATCTCTCTCCGGTCGTGTCGGTTTACTGTCCCATCGGATTATGAGAGTAAGGGCATAGAGAGTGCACGTGCTTACGCATACACTTAGGCACTATAATCCTGTCCTGCGCCGATGGCGCTGTTGAGGCAGGCCACCGTGACCGAAATTCGGTCTGGAGGACTTTATAGTTGTAGCACGAATGGTCGACTCGAACGGGGAAGGACCACGCTCTCATAGAATACCAGCGTAAAATAGCAGCTCTGCTGTGGTTCGTATGGTGAGTGTAGAGAATGATAAAGGTTGATACCTATGAGCCACAGCATCCACTTACCATCAGGTGGATTTGTGCTCATTTGTCATCCTTATTCAATAAAAAATATAATTCCGTAAACAAAAAATCTGCCTCTTTACAAAGATTAAAATAGCTAGATGCGCCTTCACCTTGAAAACTGTGGCATTATTATTGGATGTGTTCGTTTGCAAGACGCTGACGCGCGCACACTACTGCAATAGTGTCATCTCTTATTATCTTACAGAAATTGTGTACGCAACTATCTCTGTCGCACAAATGAGCACTGATTTCGAATGAGTGAGCTCACTCATTTGAGAATAGACACATTTCGGAGTGGTCATACTATGGTAAGGGCGCATCTAACTATTTAAATCTTTGCCTCTTTATTATGTTCGTAAAAAGGCAGACAGCATATAGATATTTATTATATATGCCCAGCCCAAACCCTTGCACCTAGAAAGTTGAAATTTTAAAAACAGAAGTTTTCAAAATTCCTACGGCATAGGGAAGAAAAAGGATTTATCAAATTTTCCGTAATTTCCGATTCCACGCGAGCGAAGCCGCGGGCGGTCGCTAGTTATATTATAATTACAAAATCCAAAATCGTAGTGTGTAACAACGTTGCCATAGCTCCGACAAAGGGTCTTAGCCGATAGCTATCTCTTATAAATAAATATGGTTTTTCAGTGGGTATTATGTTTTCTCTATCGGATGCGGTATTTTCTATGGTGGCGTAGCGGTCGTATTAAGCCAGCCTGAATGGGGTCGTCCTCCAGCTACTCTCAACTAAGTATAACGCATAGACAAACGTCAAACTCACTTCTTGAATATGTATCTGCGTTAAGTTTTCTTTTCAAAGATTTTATTTATAAAGACTCACATGCTAAGCACCCTTGAAAATGGGCACGATTTGCAATAGATTAACGTAAACGTCTGTGACGGACCGCTCCAAGCTCAAATGCAGAAAGCGGTGCTCCTCGATACCGCGCGCATCGTCTGCCGGTTTCTTTCTCTTTCCTCCTAAAGCTTTGATCGTAACGCACAACGCTGCGGTATGCGGCTCAAAACGGCAGCGTCACGACGCAGCGATTAGCGTCTCTGCGGAGAAGTGGTCAGTTGATTTTGCCGCAGCTACCAAAGCAGGCTTGTCAACATGAACAATATTTTAGAAGATACAAGAGAAAATCTTAGTGTACGGGTAACGTTTTTAAAAAGAATTAAAAAAAATTTGTGCTTTACTTGAGGAGGAGGAAGAAGAATTTCTACTGCTTCTGAAAAGACAAAGTAGCAGTCCGAGAAACATGTTTTAACAATGTAGGAGTGAAGGTTGTTACAAAACTTTAATAAAAAGACATTTAAATGATTGTGAAGAAAAGTTCATGGATTACTTTCGGATTTCAAAGGAGATCTTTGCCAAGATTTTAATGACCCTAAAAGATGATATTACTGACACACTGCCTAGAACCAGAAAACGGAATTTGCTATTACTGCATAAGAAAAACTATGTTTAACGTTAAGGTAAGTTTAATTTATTAATTTATTTAAGTAAAACAATTTACAAGAATATTATTTTCTTTAATAAAAAAAATAAATTAACTTAAATTCACAGGAAACTAGGGAAAATAAAAACATATGGAGAGTATGGAGAATATTATGGGGTTGGTGTGTCTCTTTGCGCCAAGATCGATAATTCCATTTCAGTAACGATGTTACAAACTTGTGTTCTGATTTGGGCGATTTTGTCTGGAGGGAATTTGCATACCACGTCGGCCATACTCCTAAAGAATGTGTGTACTGGAGTATTTCCTTGTTCCGAAATTTGTCTCAACATCTTTGTTCTTTCTTCTCTATTTTTTCTAAACTTTTTGACAATGCTGTCTCTTTTCTTATTTTTTACTTGTGATGTACCATGAGTTTGGTTTGGTGTGACTGAATTTCCTTCTTGCGATGGTTGTTGTAAACAAGATTTAAACGATGACATCTGCATTGAAGAACTTGATGGTACTGGACATTTCTCATTTAAACTAGAAATACAGCCTCTTTCTTCAAAACTGTCATTTATGAATTTTAATCTTTCGTCGTCATATTTTGAAACAGAAGCAGCACTACCGGTTTTCTTCTTATTCTGATTTTTTCTATAATTGTCACGTAAATTACGCCATTTATTTTTACATTCTTTAGCTGAAAAAATAACATTGTTAGTTAATATATAACTACTATATTAGTATAGTCGGTTTCAGTTCAATGTTTTGTGGAGGTAAACAGATCGAATGAAAATAGAACTTTTTTCAAGTGGAATAATCAGATTTAGCGAGAAGATGTGGATTTATAATTGATAATTCAATATTCTGTTTACCTCCACGGAACATTGAACTGAAGCAAACTACTTATGTATGTTTAACCCTTTACTTAAGTAGTCTATAAAATTTTTACAGGTTTTTAGCGACTGGATAAAGCTATAAACCTTTATGTTTACAATTTCGAATTAGCCGTAATTGGATACGCAAAGTTGTGCCTAAAGTCTTACAAAATGTGTGCAAAATATTTGTAAACGTTGCACTTCCAGAACCCACCGAGGAAGATTTCAGAATAATAGCCAAAGAATATTGGTTCTTATGGAATTTCCTAAATTGTATCGGGGCAATAGATGGAAAGCATATACGCATCATATTATGCCCAAGTAACAGCGGTACTTATATTTTAATTATAAGAAGTTTTTTTTACTGCCTACTTGCTATGATCGATGCGAAACGAAAATTTATAAAAACAGATATTATTCTTATGGCAAAGAAGGCGACGCAGGTATATTTATGAAATCCAATTTATTCGAGGAAATTAAAAATGAGCAGCTAAAGTTTCCCCCGCGAACGATATTACGTTTAGATTACGTTCTCGTAGGTGATGATGCATTAAGTCTCACTAATTATATGATGAAACCATACTTAAAAAATCATGCCTCTCAAGATAGTTCAAAACGAACTTTCAACTACCGTCTCAGTAGTAGAGCAAGAACAACATTAGAAAATGCTTTTGGAATATTTTGTCAACGCTTTCAAATTTATTATTTATATTGCAGTAAACCCTCATGTCGTATACAAGTTGTTTATGTCAGCCTGTATCATGCACAGTATGATGGGTTCTTTGGTTATACACGGTTCCGAGTGTAATACCCTACAAATGCCCACTGAAATAGTAATTCCTATGGCGCGTATATCGGGAAGTAATTATAAAATAAATGGTCTCATAACACGCGACTTATTTAAACAGTATTTCAACAGTGATCATGGTAGTGTACCTTGGCAAGACAATGAAGTAGATAGGACAAGTTTGTCAAAATCGAATAAGTAATTAAAACTTTTGCTTTTTTACTATAACAATAAATAAACACTACCAAGTTAAATTGTTATAAAATCTATTTAAGTTCACAACCTCACTATCAAAATGTTTCATGTCACTAAAATGTTTGCCACTTTTGTAACCTATTTACCACTGACGAATAAATGAAGGAATAAAAGATAAGTACTCACGTGTTTTATTCAACTTTACAGCTATCTCCCTCCAACAATTTTCTCTGGTTATCAAACTTTTAAGTTTTTTGTCTTTATTTTTATATAAAGAGGGATAATTGCGGATTAATTCTATTAAATTATCTTCAAACAAATCCATTGTCAACCCGTGACGCACACCGCAGCGATGAACGAGAACGACGCCACGCAGTGCGGAGTACCCACTCCCCACTTCACCGTGCTTGCCCTCGCTGCTGACGCATACTACGGCGGAACAAGAGACCATTCTAGACGTTTTACTTACGATTATGTGTCCGGCACCGTACGCCGCATACGTTGTGCGTTACGATCAAGAGACCAAAGCTTAACCCTCGGTCGTTTGGTCTCCCCTGCCGAGGGCCTCCATCTGGTTGAGTTTTTATTTATTTATGTATTTTTATGTATTTATTTTATTGATTTAATTTTGTAATTTAGTATATATAGTATAATTATAATATATATATATATATATATATATATTTTTTTTATATATGTATATATTTTATAATTGTAAAATATTAATGCCATATGCGGATATATGCGGGTGAACGGAATAGCCTATTCCGTTCACCCGTAAACCCTGTTTTTTCCAGACGGTAAAAGAAATCTACCAGTATATATGAATTCTTCATCAACTTCATAATTATATATTTTTATATATATATTAGTATACGTATTTTAGTTACAAGAGGCACTCACTACCTAAATCGTTTTCATTGAAGGACCACACACAAATTTTCATTTCTTCGAATGGATCACAATTGCCATTTCTCTGAACCGTTTGTCGTCTCATGAAAATGGTGGTCCATATTTCGGGATATTCACGTGTCAAAACGTTTCATGTTTTTTTTGGTTAATTCTTCTTCACGCTCCGTCACCTTTCGTTATGGTTGACATTTATGACTTAAAAGTCATAACTGAGAGGCATACGTTTAGTATCTTTTTTTTTCCTCGTTTTCCCTACTTTTTTGATAAAAATATTGCGTTATATGGCATTTTACGATAGGGCGTTAAAGTATCGTTGAACCCGTGAAATTTGTGGATTCGGGACATTAGCGACCTCGATTCCCCATCTGACGGCTTTAGGGGTTGTAACATCGCGATTAATCTTCGTTTGCATTTCTCAGAATAATTGAGAGTTGTTATTGCTTTGAGTGGGCAGAGTATTATATAGTTTAAATTATAATTAATTGAATATATAATTTATTATTTTATACGTGGTAGAGTCTCGCCACATTACGTGGTAGAGTCATGTTGCAGCTATATTACTGGTATGGATGTAGCACGAATGGGTCAGCTCGACCGGGGAAAGACCATGCTCTCGCAGAATACCAGCGTCAAATAGCAGCTTAAAGCTGCTGTGTTTCGTTTGGTGAGTGTAGAGAACCGGAGGCGCTTTTTACTGGAAACGAAGCATTCCAACTTGGGTGACAACGCATCTGCATTTTGATTCGTTATCGAGGATAGATGTAGATATTTGTGGGTCACAGTAACCACTTACCATCAGGTGAACTGTGTGCTCCTTTGCCTTCCTAATATTATAAAAAAATATAATTTTTATAATTACCTATACTTCTTTGTTTTAAATCAAAATGCAGCAAAGAAAAAATTTACTTTATTTATTTTAAATCTGTACCATTGACTTGTTACGATTTATCGTTGTAGTATATATGTTAGAACTTTCTCTGTTTACCATTACCGTGTAATAAATCTAATAAATCTTGACATATGTGCTCCTTTGCCTCCCTTATACTATAAAGTAAAGTAAAAGTTACAGCCTATATACGTCCCACGGTCGGGCACAGGCCTCCCCTCATTTCTGAGAGTGTTTTAGGACAAGGATGTGACCGCCGCGCTGCCCCAATGCGGTTTGGCGAACACATGGCGAACGTTGGCGTCTTAGAAATATATTTTTTCTTATTTCTTACACATGCAGGTTTTATACTATAAAAATATTATATAATTTTTATAATTACCTACATTTATTTATATTTCGTTATTATTATTTTGCTTTATTTATTTTAATTCTGTACCGTTGACTTGTTATTGTAGGATATGTTAGAAATTTCACTGTTAAGGGGATATAGTAAGTCAGCTCAAATTCTAATTTCGTCCCCACTTGCCCGCGCGTCGTATGATATGTACCGACATGTTTGTAATCACTAATACTGTAAGTAGAAAGGTCGTTAGACACTTATTTCATTAGGTTTTTCATATTTATACCTGTTTCTTAACGCCAAGCCAGTCGCTTCTTATTTTTATTACGGTTATTTCCCATTTTAATTTTACGTCGTCCTGTTGCGTAATGTATATTCTGATCGTAAGCGACACAACCTCCCCCTTCAAAGGCCGAAGCGAAGTGACCGGGCGGCAGGAATCACGCTTCAAGAGGCCGATAGTTTAGGTAATTTCTTTTTACAGTGAAAATAATGGTATTTAAAAAAAATTAAATAACATAAGCACTGCTTTATAGTTCAGTTAATATGCAAAGTTTCATGATCTTATTTAAAGTATTTTATGAATAACAGCGGTTTATTGTTTATTTTGGAGGTAACTTTGGATTTTTTTCTATCGAGAAAATTTTACGAAATCGTGTTTTCGTCTAACATAATCCTTAAAATGTATCCTCAACTTTACCATATATTTATTTCAAAATTAATGCTGCAATATTTTCAGCATAACGAAGGATCTTGCTAAGCCATTTGAGATTATATTTCCCCTTAACTACTGTGTAATAAATCTATCCATTTATAAACTTTCCTCTGTCTGGCTGTACTAGCTAATATTCGGAATGGTTGAATCGATTATGATGAACCTTCACGAACATATAGTAAGCAATGCCAACAATGATCTAGGCTATATTTTATCTGGAAATCTTGAAGAAATTTTGTTTTTATGTAATTGGAAAAATTATAAAATAAATGGTCTTTGATGATATCTTAAATCTAAATGATAAAATTACATTAGTAGATCTAACCCAGGGCGTGTTGCTAGTAAATTAATAAATCTGATAAAATCAATGACAATGAGCGCACAGATCAAATCTTACCATTAAGTGTAGTCCATACAAAGTCACTTTCACTTTTTAAGTTTAAGCATTTGAATTCAAATTTTTTTAAATATTTCTCATTTATTTTCACTAATTATTATATACATACATAACATACATAAACACTCACGCCTGTCACCCAGAGGGGTAGGCAGAGACTACGGACTTCCATTTGGCACGATCCTGACATACCTCTTTCGCCTCCTTTACATCCATATATCTACGCATACATGCTCGTCGGTTAAGGGTACTTCTAACGTGGCCCATTTTCAAAATATCGCCAATTTGGTCGATAAACTTTTTCCTAGGGCGTCCCTTCCCGACTCGGCCATTCACATCTGCCATATAAATTTGCTTTGTCACTCTTTCCTCATTCATTCTTTCTACGTGACCAAACCACCGAAGCATTCCTTTCTTAATCCTGGTCACAACATCATCTTGCATACCACATTTATCTCTTATCACGCAATTTCTCACCCTGTCATTCAGATTACACCCTAGCATATTCCTTAAAGACCGCATTTCTACAGCATTTATTTTACTTTCGTGCTTCTTCTGCCACACCCAGCTTTCACTACCATACATTAAAGTAGGGACTAACACAGCATTATGAATTACCATACGTGCCTGTTTTGACAAATTCTGGTTCTTCATAATAGAGTGTAGTGCCCCATTCACTCTATTCCCTGCATTTACTCGTCGTTCTATATCCCTATCATATCTACCATCCCTGCTAAATACACATCCCAAATACACAAACTCATCCACTTGCTCAATCAACTCTCCTTCTATTCTTATTTCACATACCGTTTTGCTTTCTTCTCTTTCAAAAACCATCACTTTCGTCTTACTTGCGTTCACTTTCATTCCCCTTTCTTTTAATTCCCAGTTCATTAATGTAACCATCATCTGCAACTCTGCCGCCGATGACGCAAGTATGACTTGATCATCGGCATACAAAAGGCATTTGACGGTTAACTCGCCCATTCTTAACCCACATTCTTCATCTTTCAAAGTTTGCAAACACCGGTCCATAAATAGGTTGAACAGCCAAGGGGAAGCCACACAGCCCTGTCTGACACCTTTTTGGATGCCAAACCAGTCCGAGTAGACCCCATTGATCCTGATACAAGCACTAGAGTCCCTATAAAGAGACCTTAATGCCTGTATCAAACCAGCGCTCAACCCATATGAGTTCAGTGTTTGCCATAACACATTCCTGTCCACTCTGTCATAAGCCTTTTCCAAGTCCATGAACGCACAAAAAACTTTCTGGTTTTTGGCCAAAAACTTCTCCGCAATCATGCGCATGGAAAAGACTTGATCTGTACACCCCATTCCCTTTCTAAAAACCCGCTTGCACATCCCAAATTTTTCCATCAGTTTCTTTCATAACTCTTTCAATTAACACCTTAGCATACAGTTTACCCACAATACTAAGCAAGCTGATACCGCGGTAGTTTTTGCAGTCCTGCTGTGACCCTTTTCCTTTATATATTGGTACTATAACTGCTTTACACCAGTCATCCGGTACCCGTTTTAATTCCCAACATAAATTAAACAAGGTGTACAGCAGGCCTGCCACCACTCCCTCTCCAGCCATTAGCATCTCGAGTGATACTCTATCATATCCAGCTGCCTTACCTGCTTTCATGCTTTTCATTGCTTTCATTATTTCATCTACACTTATCTCCATACCCCTTTCCACTTCTTTCGGAATTTCTAGTTCATTTAATTCATACGACTCTTCACTCATAAACACGCTTTCAAAGTATTCCTTCCATCTGTTTAAATTCGAAACTTCATCATTCAGAATACATCCATTCTCGTCTCTTATAGCATTTATTATAGGCTGTTTTGTATTTCCCCTGGCAGTTCTTACGAGTTTCCAGAACATTTTTATGTTAGTCTGGAAATTATCAGATATCCTTCTATCATTCTTATCC